GTAGTCCCGCTAATCTCGCGACGGTTACACCCGGTAATCTCGGGACCGTCGGTTACACCTGGTAATCTCGGGACCGACGGTTATACCCGATAATCACGCCGCTGACAGTAGCTCACATCGGCCCCCACCGAGCTTCCCGATAGGTCGGACCTCGGCCAGGTTCATCTCGGCCCTCATACTTAGCATCTGTCAACGCTAGTGGTGGTGATCTCGGTCGTCCGAGCTGGGCATGACTCATGAGTCATCTTGGAGCACCAATAGGGGTCCTCTACGTGTCCAGGGTATTCTCTTCCCCAAACATATGTGTACAAACTAAGAGGTTATTTGGCAAGTTGACTCAACCTTTAGTCGCTTCGGTTCAAATTTAAAATGGTTTAAGCTTAAAAGAAGAAGATGAAGTCATCGTCGGAGAGGATGAAGCAGTCTTCGATTTGTATGATGAAGCAAGAATCTGAAATTGATCAATCGAGAATTTGCTAGAAATTTTTACAAGAAAGAAAAGAAAACCCTAGAATTTTGAAATTTGTTGTTGGGAGAACGAAAATTGAATTATGGTGAGAAGAAACAAGTCACCAGCCGTAGATCGGAGTCGTGAAGCAAACTGAATCGAGATTGAACCGACCCATTAAATTACCCTTTAATTCGTACACCTCAATTTTAGTTTGTAACCATACGCCAGCTTTCTGTTAAATCTTAACTTTTTTTTTAAATAAAGAAGAATACTTCATTAAAATAAAACAGCGTCCCTGTTAGCCAAACACATTAGTCACGAACATAAATTCCAAAGTCTCACTTTCCTTTCTCTCACAAGCTCTCCTCGCAAGAGTACGAGCACAAGTATTCGCTGCCCATTTGCTTTGTTCAATTTCTGGATTTTCTCCACAACCCACCAGATTTCTGTGAGATCTTCATCATCCCCCTTCAAAAGCATAGCCACTTCCACAGAATCTGTTTCCACATGGATCCGATACGTTAACGACGATGAATTGTAATTAATACATGGACTAAATCATTACATTTCTTAGACCAAATGTATTTTTTTAATGCAAAAATGTGAGATCACCTAGAGAGTTTGACTTTGAAACGGGAGGAGAGAGAGGATTTAGTCATAAAAAATTCCTCTAATAAAATAACTCAATAATTAAAATATTTAATATAGTAAGAAACAAATAATTAAACATAACCCATCTATCAAGATGAGATAATCCAAATTATAATATTAATTTGCATTATATTCTTTAAACTTTTTAACATTATTTAATCTATTATTCAATGTTGAAATTTCAAAGTATTTATTTTAGTCTTCATTTTTTAATAATCATTTTTAAAAATTTTAAAATATTTATTTTAATTTCTAAACATTAATTATTTTTAAAGTTATTTATTGTCCACTTAAGGTCCGTTTGGTAATGTTCATGTTTCTTGTTTTGTTTCTCGTTTCTAATTTTCTTAAGAAATCTAAGCATTTTGCAACTAGTTTATTTCTTGTTTCTCATTTTTTGAAAACACTCTCACAATTATATAGAAATTTTGGAAACAACCCTTTTTCCTTTCTGGTTCCCATTTCCAATTTGTTCCAAAACATAAATGGAAAGATTGTTTTATCATACTTTAATTGTTGGAGATTGGAACCATGCGATAAATTTTTCTTCATTAAAAATAAAGAAACAGGAACAAGAAACAGGAAGGTTACCAAATGGGCCCTTAAATTTCGCTTAATTAACTTATGTGTTTATATATACGTCGAATAAAACACATTAATACACATGTTTAAAGATCCAATACTATTTATTTGTTAAACAATGAACTGCAGAATAATAACAAAACTGCCAAAGCGAGCATAGCTCAGCGGTAATTGGCATATACCTCCAACCAAGTGGTTGTGAGTTCGAATCCCCTCCCCAACATGTTGTATTCAAAAAAAAAAAGAATAATAACAAAACTTAAAACAATTTTTTAAAAATGTTTAATTGATTGAGTTATGTTTTTTGATATCATCTTTATTATTTTAACTTAGTCTTTTATTAAACCAGACCATCAATATTGGACTAGCAGTGATTAAAATAAATATTTATATTTGAAAAGTTTAATAACTGAAACAAAATAATTACTAAATATATATTTTAGTCCACACGTTTGAGCGGTTTTTATTTAGTCGGTATGATTTGAAATTTCAATTTCCTCCTTTTATATGCATTAACATTTTTCAATTTTTATTATTATTTATTTTTTTTGAAAATGAAAATTTTCAATTATACCATTTACATTAATGGATCTTAATGTACAACTAATGGTAAATTTACAAGTCACAATATTTAGTAAATTAGCATAAACTTAGGACATGTTTTATCAATAAAAAAATATAAAATTAGTTTTTAAAATAGCTATTGTTTTAATTTTGAATACATTCATTCTTTCTATTCACCTTATGTTAATCTTAAATTTTAGGAGATTTTTTTTTCATTCTCTAAAATTTGTCACTCTCTAACTTTATTTATCTTTAATTTTGATTACCTTAACTTTATTTATCTTTAATTTTGATTATTCTCTCTAATTTTTTTCTCTATTTTCTTTAAATCCCTCTCAAAATTTTTAGTTCCCATCTACTTTCTAAGATTACTTCTCTTTCTAAAATTATTCTCTTCTCTAAGATTTTTGTTTCTCCCTCTAAAAATTTTTGTAAAATTTTTCTCTCAAAACATTAAATATTAATCATTTTCAAACCTTCTAATTTGTTTTTCACATTTTGAACCAGATTAATGGTAAAAGTTTTGACTACTTTTTCTCAAATTGACTTAATTCTACTAAATTTATGTCAACTCACTGAGATAGTACACTAAACTTATCATTAAGTAAAAGTTATAATTTAAAAAAATGATAAAGTTAGAATTTAAATAGAAGAAAAATCTTAGATTTAGCCAAATAAATAGCTAAAAATGACATCCAAAATTATCTTGGAAATACTCTCAATTATCCCTCGTAGTCCTTCCATACTTAGAACCTCCAAAGATTCCTTCATCTTCTCCAATAAGCCTCCAACAGTGAGACCAGATTCAACAGCCAAACTCAAAGCATTCTTCACAAATTCAAACAAACCACTGGCCGAAGAACTCGCCACTCCCGATCCCGCACCGATCATCTTGCTTAAGAAGTTTTGAACAATCTCCCGCACCCCGTCCATGGCCGAGCTGCCTGCCAATGCCTCCTTCATCTTCTCTACCAGCTCTCCGATGGCTGAACTAGGCTCATTCAACAACTCAAGGATGGTGTCCTTCACAAAGTCGAACATGCTGCCTATTAAATTACCACTAAATCTAAAAGTGTAAGGGGATAAGTTATGATAAATTTAATATTTTATTCATATATTTGTAATGCTTTGACTTTAAAAAATTAGCATAATGGTCCGTGATTATTAATATTAGTAGAGAAGAAAGTACGTAATCTAATATATAAGAAAATGTGTAATGTAACATATCATGTTAAGTTTTGAAATTTTGTAAAATAATAGTATTTAGATGCTCATGGACATGTATTATATTTACCATTATTATTAAAAAAAAGAATGGACTACTATTTATTCTATTTTCTCTCCATTTTTTTATGCATTCATAATTGCAATTTTTTAACAGTGGTAGGTAACCATCTAAATATTCTTCTTTAAAAAAATATCCATTTTGTTCTTTATCTTTATTTTATTCATAACAATTGGATATATATTACGTGTCTGGAGGCATATTATTGAGCAAATATTATATGACAAAATAATAGCAACGACCAAAATAATTATTTTTTTAAAGTGAGGGATTAAGTAGAAATTTTGAAACTTTTAAGGACTAAAATGATTATCTCTTACAAATTCAAGGACCAATATGTATATTTTAAAAGTTTTAAATTCTCATCCTGAAAGTTGAATACCAAAATGAGATTCAAACCTAAACTCAATCTTCTATTCATATTTCTTAACACCTACCTGCAAAAGAGCTTGCTGTTTCCAGAGCCATGTCGATGATCTTCTTCGAAATGCTCTCGATAATCTCCCGCACTTGATCCGTCATCGAACTCTCCATAAACGACGACTTTGTCTTCTCCACCAGGCCACCAAAGATCGAACCAGACTCCAAAATCGAACCGAAAACGGCATTCTTGAGAAACTCGAGCACCATAAGCACAAAAGAAGTTATGATTCCCAAACCCATCTCTATTGTGTACATGAGAACAGCCCTCATGGCTTGTGCAAGCTGCTGAAATGCGCTGAGGAGGGCTTGGGCAGGGAGCTTTATAAAGGAAATAAGAACACAAGGTGTGGATTTGAAGAATAGGGAGAAAATAAAAGTGGGCAAGCTGTTGAAGCCATTGGAAAGGAGATTTAAAGTGAGATTAAGGATTTTTAGAGATGTGATTACAAGGAGGAGGTAGAGGAGAAATGTTGAAGCCTTGGAAGAAAGGGGAGAAGAAGAACAACAAGACATTTGATTTGGTTTATGTGTTTGAATTCAATTGGTCGAGGAGTATTCATAGGGTTGAAGGGATTTTTTTTTTCTTTTTTTTTGGATTAAATTATAAGTTTAGTTGAAGACTATTATTAGATCTATGATCCCTGAATTTGCAATTTTGTATCTAATAGGTCATTGAATTTTCATGTCTAATAGTCCCGCAAACTCAAAAAGTATCTAATAATCCCTAATCTTTCAATTTGGTATCAAATACAGGCCACTGACCTATTTTATTATTTTTAAAAATCAACGGATCAATTAGGCGTGAAATTTAATTTTGTATCTAATAGAATCGTAAAGTTTCAATTTTAGATCTTTGAATTTTCAATTTTGTGCCTAATAGGTCATTGAATTTTCAATTTTATATTTAATAGACCGGCGAACTCACAAAGTGTCTAATAATCCCTAATCTTTCAATTTGGTATCAAATATAGGCCACTGACCTATTTAATTATTTTTTAAAATTAACCGATTAATTACGCGTAAAACTTAATTTTGTATAGAATCGTGAAAGTTTCAATTTTGTATCGAATAGGACCATGAATTTTTTAAAATGTCGAATAGCTAGGAACACTATTAACACAAAATTGAAAGTTTAGAGACTTGTTAGACACAAAATCAAATTTTAGAGACCTATTAAACATTTTTCTAAAGTTTAAAGACCGACAAAATTAAAAATTTAGCTAAGAAATTATCAGACACTTTCAAAGTTCAATGATCAATAAACAAACTTAAAATTTGGACTAAACTTTAATTTATTATTTTTTTTCTCATTTGATTGATGTTGATGGGATAAAATGTGAAGGAGAGAAGAGAAATGAGTTGTTATTTCGATTTTTTTAGTATATTTTAGTTGATTATTATTGTTTAATAGAGAGCAAAAAAGTTTGAAGAGTTCAATAGTTTGGTAATTAGCGACAAGATATACATGATTTTATTAATAGGGTTTATCAAGTCAATGGGCAAAACATTAAATTATACCAATGATTTAAAATCATTGGGTCATTTTTTTTTCCCTCTTTTAAATTACTTTCAACCTGAATTTTAGTATGTAAACGCCACAAGAAAGAGCCACGCAGTATAGAAAGGACAAAATTGATATCATATGGTCTATTCTCAACAAGGCTTTGATATGGCAATTTTATAATCCAAACTCAACCTTAGCCAAAAATTATGTGCCAACAATAGTTTTGGACGCGTTTTCATTCAACTACTCATAACATTACTTACATACATCCAAATAGGGATTTCGATCCCTTGACTTGAGCATGGTTATGCGACTATATCTCACCGTTAATCAATCAAACTAAATTTTAATTTAAAATACTATGATAGATTGTACTAATGTATGTATATATACACATACATACTAGACTCATTATATTGTTGCTTATAAATATCATCTCGTGGTTGACGTAGGTACGTTTTTTCTAGTCATTTTTTTTCACTAAGATCACTTTGTTAAATTCCATTATTTATCATCACGACCTTCTTTGTTGATTTGTGGAGTTTTGTTTGGACAAATATCACAATGGAACCTCAAGCTATCATTTTTTATTTGTAGGTTTTTGACACGATAGTATTATAAACACCGTATTTAGTCCGACTCTCATTTTTATTTTCTTTCATTTTTACTTTATTTTAATTAGTTTTTATTTTAGTTTCTTATTTATTTTATTTAGAAAAAACTAAAGTTTATCTTATTATGGTAAAGTTTTAATTAAGTTAAATAGTTAGATTTTGTTTAAAAGGATTCGATTTTATTAATAAAATTAAGAAACAAAAAGGATTTTATTTTTAAAAAATGGATTGTGTTTTGTTTTTTTCCCCTCGTCAAACCTCAGTGGCATATTCTTCATGTTCTTCTTCCCCTTTTTCTCTAATTACTATCCAAAATCCTAGGGTTTTTTTTTCGCTCTCTCTAGGGATGAGCGTTGTTCCCAGTCTTTGACTGGTTTTTCTCTAGCTTTCTTTGGAGTTGGTCGGGCTTTTTGTCTGTTTAGTTTTCGCACAGATCAATATGGGTATAGAGGCCTTGGTTGATGAATGGAGGAAACTATCATTGACTTCCGAAGAAGAGGAAGTTACAGTGGATGTGGACGGGGTAGCGGCATTGGATGTTGAAAAGTGCCTGGATGTAAGTTTGGTTGGAAAGCTTCTATTAAAGCGAAATATCCAAAGGGAGGTTCTGCTGAGAGTTCTAAAGAAAGTTTGGTATGTCAATGGGGATTTTGGGGTGGAATCATTAGGGCACAATATTTTTCTTTTCCGTTTCGAGTCAGCGGCCATTCGTAATAGAGTATTGAGAGGGGGTCCCTAGTTTTTTGATAAGGCATTGCTTGTCTTGGAGAAACCTGTGTTAACCTTAAAACTTTCAGGTTTTGATTTCAATAAGGCGGCTTTTTGGGATCGCTTTTGTGATTTGCCGTTATTTTGCCTGAATACTTCTATGGCTAAACAATTGGGTAATGTTATCGGCCAGTTTGAGGGGGTGGATTGTTCGGAGGATAAATTCTGCTGGGGGAGCAGTTT